CGGGGGCGGGGCCTGGCCGAGCTCCCGGGGACACCCAGCCCCGCAGCATCCATCCCTGCATCACCTCGAGGTCCCGTCAGCGGCAGCTTCTCTGGGCTTCTAGACAGTGGGAATGAGCCGGGCTCATTCGCTTGGACTTGGCCAAGATGGTGCCGTGTGCAGTAGGCTGTGCGGTCGCCTGTCCCCCGGGGCAACCCGTGGCCTCAGTCTGATCTGAAGAGAGATGGATTGCAGGTGTGCAACCCGCATTTAGAGGAGTTATTTTTTCAAACTGTAAAACTCCTCATAAGCAATATTTTGTGTTCATTAGGTTAAAGTGTGTTAAAATTAACCTCCCTTATTGCAAATGTGACTGGCCCCAAATTTCTGTTGAGCAGCCTAAAGGATTAAGAAAAAGATCAGAAAGGCAAAACATATTGGTAGAACCTGATTGTAACATAAATCACATTCTCATAGTAATTATGTATAATTTTTATCATAGAAAAACAAGTGACTTATCTAAGAACATATGTAACAAACCTCACTTGCATTTTCACTTGCTGTTAAATGCCATACTTTGGGGGTAAATGTTGAGAATCAGAGAAAACATACACAGCAGGTTCTAGGAGCAGCTCATGGGATGTGTGGGGGTCTGGTAGAACCACAATTCTGTCCTTGGTCTGTGAACTAGGCCAGGGGTGTTTCCATTTATGGTCCTCTTGCTTTAAAATCTGAGGCAGGGTCTCCCTGTAGCCCCAGCTGACTTGGAATTCACTATGTAGACCAAGCTGGTCTCAGTCTCACAGAGATCTCCCTGCCTCTGCCTCCCAGTGCTGGGATTAAAGGTGTGTGTCACCATGCCCTGCCATCACTTGTGTTACTCTGAGTGTTAAACATGAGATGTGTTAGGGTGGGCTAACAATACCACTGTCTCAGCTGCTTAACTCCAGAGACACGTTTTTTCAGACAGGTCCCAGTGTGCTGTGGGGGATTGGGATGAGAGGTTCCCATGGTCTAACCTCTCCACTCTCTCTTGTGGCCTTGCAGTAGTTCTGTCCGTGGGTCCCAGACAGGGAAGACAACTGTGGCTGAATTGTCAGTGATGTTAGGGGCCAGCTCTGGAAATGTACCTAATTTTCACCAAATTCCTGTAATCGGAATCAATGTGTCTGGTTTCATAACCACAATTCACTTCAGGTGGCTGTAAAGTGTGTGTGCGTCTGATGCTTAAGGTTAATTTGAACATCACCAAGCACCTAAACCTGACTTTACCTGAAAAGAATGTTTGGGAAAATTAACAAATATTATAAAAGCCAGACTCTCATCTCTTAGTGATGGAGGAATTTTGTGAGATAGTCTATATCCTGAAAGAAAGAAAGGGAACAAAATAGGTTTGGATCTAATGGTGATGAGACATTAGTAGTTAATAAACATCAGTTTTATGCCAGAACATTGTCTTAAACATCACAGGGAATAAATGTAAGACACAATTATGTTATGCTCCCATAACATAACGGGTTGGGGACTGTAGGGTGGATATCCTCTACCCTCTTGTTAACTTCTCTCAAATCCTGCACTGGGTGGAAATCGTTAGTCCCTGGTTTCTTGACTGGTAGAAGAGGGGTGTTCCATGGAGATTGGCATGGAACCAGAATACTGAACTCCCTAAGGCGGTTTATATGTTTGGTAATTCCTGCCCTGGCTTTGAGAGTCATCGGGTACTGTTTTACAGGCTAAACATTAGTTTTTAAAGTCACCATTATTGGTGGCTGTTGGATGGCCCTCCCTGGGGAAGTAGTTTCCGCCCAAACTCCAGGGATTGTTGCCTGAAGGTCCCTGAGGATAGTGGTTGGTCTCTTTTGAGGGGGTGGGGCATGGACTCTCCATTCTTCTTCTAATTGTAAACATAGGACATAGGCTGCGTCCAGTACAGTCACATCAGGAGGTCCTCTCCCAGAGAAATGGATTTGAGCCTTTGTTTTATCTAGCAAATCCCTACCCAATAAGGGATATGGGCACTCTGTGACCACCAAAAAGGAGTGTGAAACTGTCTTCTTATCTAAGTTTACTTCCCTTTTGGTAGTCAAGGGTGCTGAGTGATTCCCATGGCCCCTTGCACCCAGGTGTGTTTACTGGTCAATTTTCCTACAGGCTCTTTTAAAACTGAATATTGTGCTCCGGTGTCAACTAGGAAGTCAACAGCTCGTCCCTCCACTTGTAGGGTCACCCAGGGCTCGTGGTGGAGGTTCGCCAAGCCTGGGCCCCTTCAGTTTTCTAGGTTCGCCAACTCAAGGCTCTTGGGCTTGGAGGGAGGCTGGGATCCCGTCCTTTGAGGACATTCCCTAGCCCAGTGGCCCAGCTGTTTACAATATGCACACTGGTCTCTTTTTAGGTGGGGCCGACCTTCCTGTGGGGGTCATGGGGCTTGGGTTCCCTTTTTCATAGAGGGTCAGTCCCCCCATTTGGGATTCGTTGCTCTTTCAGCCAACAATATCCTAGCCAGCCCTTTTGTTTGTCTTTCTTCAGGGGTTTCTCTGTTGTTAAATACCTTGTTCGCCACCACCATCAGCTCAGAAAGGTTTTGTGCTCTCGAAACCTTCTAGCTTTTGAAGCTTTCATTTTATGTCTGGAGCTGCCTGATTTACTAAAGCCATATTGATGGCCATCTGATTCTCTGGGGCTTCTGGATTTATAGGAGTATAAGTTCAGAAAGCCTCTAACAGGCGTTCCAGGTACACTCCAGGAGACTTATCCCTTCCCTGCATCACCTGACTGACCTTAGACAAATTGGTGCGGTGCTTAGCAGCTGCCCAGAGGCCCCCCATAAGAATCTGGTGATTGACCTTTAGGCATTCCCTACCTTCAGGGGTGTTATAGTCCCACCCGTCTGTTGGGCGAATGAGAGGGAAAGCAGCCACAATCAAACTCTCATTCTCTGTCAGTCGCCCATCATTTCCAGGGACTGTGTGTCTGCATTCCTGAAGGATGTGGTTCCATTCCTCGGTGGTGAACAGGATATTCAATAACTGTTGGTAATCATCCCAAGTGGGTTGGTGGGTAAAAAGAATGGTATCCAGAAGGGAAATCAGGGCCTGAGGGGGCCTGAGGCTTCTCTGTAAAGGAGGGAGTCTGTAACTTCCAATTATACAAGTCACTAGTAGAAAAGGGAAAGTAGACTACTGGGGAAATTCCATCCTCCCTCAGGGGCCTAATCTCCCTCAGAGGAAGAGCTTGCACAATTCTCCCCTCCCCCCATGAATGAGTGTGCAATGGGCTGGGCTCAGCCACGGGAGGTGCCAGCTCAGCCATGGGAGCTGGGGATGGAGACTGGGAAGGACTGGAAGAGGAAGATGCTCATGACCTGCACTCCCTAGGTCTATCCTAAGCACTCACTGGGGCCCCGTAAGGTGGTGGGAGTAAATCCTCCTCTGGTGCTGAGGGAAGAACCTCAGGACCCGATGGGTTTTTGGTCTGAACTTTCTTCAGGGGCAACAAAGTGGCTGACTGCTTAAGCCCCAATGGTGGGGGTGGCAGTAAAGGATGCAGCCAGTCGGGGGGTGCAGCAACCAGATAGTGCCAACCTAGGATGTGTGGGATCTGGTCAGGGTGCCCCGGTTTCCTGAAGATATCCCCTTGAACCCTGTAGATGAGGGACAGGTTAAAGGACACTTCAGGCGGCCATTCAACTTCAAAGGAGGGCCATTCAGAGGGTCTGGAGGTGGGTCGGCTTGACATGGAGTCCAGACATGTTCGAAGCCACTTGTTTGTAGCCCTGAAAATGACTAAGAACTAGATCAAGGGGAGCTGAAGATGATGAGACTTTCTGGCCCATCGTGGGATAAGCTTCAAGAAAAAAGAATATAAGGAGAGGAATGAGAATGAGAAGAAGTAGGATGGAAAGTCGATAGACAAGGCGGAGCTCTGAGCAGAGGGTGAGGACAGTATGAGATGGCGGCTCCCTAGAGGGAGAAATGAAAATCTCACAGGGCATAGAGTCAGCTGAGAAGGCTCCCCTGTTCCTTTCCCAAAAAGATTTGGCCAGCCTGGATTCCACATCAGACTTGACCAGAATCTTGCGTCTGGCCTGCCTGGATTCCATGTTGGACTGGGCCAAGACTCTGGGTCGGTCCCGCCTGGATTCCACATCAGACTGGAGCACGACTCCTTAACAGAAGAGGAGTTCAGGCGTTCCCCCTTCTCCTCCAGCTCTGAGATCAATAACACATCCTCTTGATCTCTGTCGAGCCCCAGGATGTCCAGACTACTGAAAAGTGAGAGAGAGAGAGAGAGAGAGAGAGAGAGAGAGAGAGAAAGGCAGGCAGAACTTACCAGGGCCAGTGTCCTGGTTTGTTTCTTCATTGCTGTGACAAAACACTCTGACCACTACCAACTTGGGGAGGAAAGGGTTTATTCAGCTTACATCTCCCAGGTCACAGTTCATCAGGGAGCCCAAGATAGGAACTCAGGGAAGGAACCTGGAGGCAGGAACTGGAGCACAGGCCATGGAGGAATGCTGCTTACTGGCTTGCTCCCCTGGCCCCTGCTGAGACTGCTTATATAACACAGGCCCACCTGCCCAGGGGTGGCACCACCCACAGTGGGCTGGGCCCTCCCAGATCACTCAACAATCAAGAAGATGGCCCACAAACAAGGCCATAGGCCACGCCTATGGAGGCAATCCAGTGGTTTCCATTTGGCCTTTCCAACCATAATAGCCCTCACTCCACAGGTCAGGGAACCAATGTGGGGATTCTGCCAATTC